CCGGCCCCGGCCCCGCCTGCTCCCCGGGCCGCACTCACCGAGGCGCGGCGCGGCCGCAGCAGGCGCAGGAGCGGCCCCTTCATGGCGCTGGCGGGCGGGAAGTGCCCGGGCTACAGGCAGCCGCGCACGGCGCCGGCCAGACCCTGCCCCGGCCCGCCCCGCCCCGCCAGTAGAGGGGCGGGTCCGCTGAGGTCCCCCGCGGCGCGGGGAGGGCGTCACCCCCGGCAGGGACACAGCAGCCCGGCCCGGGGTGGGGCCCGGGGGATCCAGCCCCGAACCCAGGGGAGTAGCGGGGGCTCGACGCCTCCCACACGGTGCCCGGCTCTCCCTGCCGGCCCCCACGGGGCTCACAGCGCCTTACAGAGGCGGCCGGTGTCTTCACCCGCGCTTCACAGGGGGGAAACTGAGGCACGGAGACTTGCCTGCCGTCACCCAGAGCCAGGAGCAGTCCCCCAGCCTGCCCAGCCCAAAGAGTTGGTGCACAGATGGCAGCTGAACAAGGGACTTTTCTTGCCCTGCTTTTCCTGGCTGGAGCCACAAGACGAGTGGCTAGTAGGAGCTGGGCCCAAGGTGGGTGGGTGGCAGGATCACCAAGCACATTGGAATCCCTGGAGAAGAAATAAGTGAGTGGTGAATGAATCGGTGCTTTAATCTCATCGACTTTAAGGCCAGAAGGGATCACTAGATCATCTAATCTGACCCCACCGCCCATATGTCACAGGCCACCAACACCACCCACTAATCCCACAACCACAACAAGACCAAAGTCAGTGAGACCCCCGGGAGTCTAGACTATTACATGTCACAGACAGAGAGCAGGAGGGACCGAGGTGCACCCGTGCCCAAGGCCCCTGCAATGGCAGGGAAATGACTACATGAGAGATACCCAGATAATTCTGCCAGTCACCCACACGCACATGCTGCAGAGGAAGCTGAACACCCCTCCCGCCCCCTGTCACTGCTAGTCTGACCTGCTTGAAAATGGCAGTTAGTTAGACCCTGAGCATGTGAGCAAGAACCAGCCAGCCAACACCTGAGAGAGAGAATACTCAGTGCCACCTCAAAGCCCTGGCCCTCCCTGTCCAATATCCCATCTTCAGCCATGGTCATCCCTGATGCTTCAAAGGAATCTTATAAACCCTTCCAGAATACACGGGGTGGGGGAGGGGGGGAATTCCTTCCTGACCCCTGCCAGCGGCTGGCTGAAACCCTGAAGCATGAACTTTAGGAACATAAAATGTAAACTCGCAGTGAGCCCCAGGGCTTTTGAACCCTGTCCCACATCATCATGAGCAACCATGTCCTATAATCTCACTCAAATGTGTCCAACTGTCTCTTAAAACTAATTATGGTAAGTCGTTTGCTCCATCAGCTCCTTTTGGGAGGCTGTTCTAGAACCTCACTCCTCTGATGGTAAGAAACCTTGTAATTTCCAGCCTGAATTTGTTCATGGCCAGTTCATTTGTTCTTGTGTCAGCCTTGTCCTTTAGCTTCAATAGCTCTTCATCCGCATTGGTATTTACCTCCCCCAGCAGTGTATTTAGAGAGCATGATATCCCCCTCGGCCTTCTTTTTGTGAGACTAAACAAGAGAACAGCATATTCAAAATACTTATTTCCTGAAGGTTGCCCAGATAGTGGGTTAGCAGGAAGTCTGGGGGCAGCCAGGGCCTAAGAATCTCCCTTCCATCCCCCTCTAAGGCCCAGAGTGCCAGAAACCACAATCAGCCTGGAGTGGGATTAGGGGAAAATTCAGCTTTTCATTTCAAACCGCTTAGTTTCTAGCCCTGCTCGTTGAGAACTGTGTGACTGGAGTCTGCACCCAGGGCTCAGAAACCAGGAGTCCAAAGAGGCCCCAGAGCACAGCGGAAATCTCATGGATTCTTTGAGGCCCTTCAAAAGAGATCGCTTTATTCCAAGTAAAATAATAAAATGGTTTAGTGGCTTCGTGACTTTCCCAAGGCCATGCAGCGACTCACTAACAGATCACGATTAGAACGCAAGAGTTCCTGCTTCCCCGCTCATGGTCAGTCCGGGGTCATCTCCATTTAGCACCAGGGAAAGGCAGAGTGATTGGAACCCCCTGGGGCCTATTGGTGACCACCCTCTCCCCCCCACTGTTTCAGAACCCCAGAATCAGCCCCCGCACTCTCGTGTCAGATTGAGAAGCCACGCCCAGCAAATATTTTGGATGAGTTTCCCAGGAGCATTTTAAAGAATCTCAAGAAATCCTGATGATCACTTCCTTACCCCGACACACACAATTTTAGAGGAATAATTTCCAAGCCTTTGGAGAGAAAACACCCAGGCTAACATCTGTTGACACTGTGTGCTAATCCAGTTAAACGCATTCCTGGCAACATGCCCGACAAATCCAGATCCATCCTTTGAGATAACCCCGTTTGATGTGAGTTTGTGAAGAGTGGGTTGTGGGTAGAAAAGTTTACACTAAAGAGTTTCTAATGATGTATGGGATAGACATTATGTATTGGGTTGTTATAATGTGTGCCGTGCAGTTAATGGGCAACGACTGTTTTGCTTCTGTTATGGACATCAAAGAAAATGTGCTGTGTCCAGCAGGCTTTTATCTTAGTCAAATACATTAATTAAACAGAAGGAGTAGTCAGTGTGGCCAGCTAGATCAATGCTTGCCTGTCCTCTCCAGAGCGGCTGTTCAAATTTACAGAACAGGCAGGTGTATAATTAGTTTGGGGGTTCCAGGCAAAGTTTTTGTGTAATATGGTGACTTGGGCCCAGATCCTCCAAGGAGCCAGCAATACCAGTAACTGCCATTTCACCGCTGCATGATGTCTGCTTTTTAGTTTACTGTTTCTCTGTATTTCCCCCCTTGTTTGCTTGCTGAGTTGGCCTGCAGTTCACTCATCAAAGAATGCTGATGAGGATTCGCAGAGCTACCTTAACAACATTTCAGAGGAAGGAATCCTCCACATGGGACTAATCTGTGACAAAACACCCAGAAAATAATTGATTTATGACAAGAATGAGGAGGAACTTGTATGACTTCATGACATGATGTGTGTCAGGGCTCTAAAGACAGTTGCGCTGACCTGTATGCATGCATATTTCACCCCATTACAGCTACATCAATCTAATTATTGTTGTGAGATCTATTATTAGGTAGGGGCAACATCCTAAACTGCTTAGCAAAATCAGGACAGTAACCACCTGTCATCTCAGGTCCCTCTAGGCCTGTGCTTGGAGTTGCTATGCGGTTCCTACTCTGCAGACTGTCAGCTGTTCTTCTGAGCTTGCATGAAAAACATTCCTGTTACAGAGTGGGACTTGGTGGGAGTCAGTCAGCTGCATCTGTGGAGAGCCTAACTGCCTTGTCACTTAACTGCTGTCTGCCTTCAGCTTGCTCGCTGTAAAATGGGTATATTTCCCTGCTGTGAGGACAACTTAACGCATATTGACTTAAAACATATGTTCCTCTTTGAAACAGGACTAGCTCAAAGCACTCAAACAAATTTCTTAATGTGTGTCAGCAGCGTGCACATGGACAGTTAGCTGCTGCGGTCTAGTTGTTTGTGCAGACAAGCCCTTATTTGCTCCATGCCTCAGTTTCCCCATCTGTAAAATGGGGATAATAATGCTGCTTTTGTTTTGTCCCCTTAGCCTGTAGGCTCTTCAGTGGCATGGACAGTCTTACGATGTGTTTGTGTAATATCTAGTGCAACATGGTCCTGATCTCAGTTTAAGCTTCTATGAACCACCATAATACAAAGATGGAATAGTTACATTTCAACACTCTATGTTAAAAGAACACTAAGGTTACGAAGTCAAATGCTCAAAAGTTAGGAAATGCCAGAATTAAGTTTTGCCCATATAGTTTCAGGAAAAGTCCTGCTCAGCCCCTGCAGGCCCAGGATGGAACGTGCTCAGTTGCTCTCTCGGGATGGCACATGGTCTGGTCACAGGTGGGAATTCTGAGGGGATGGAGCATGTTCAGTCCAAATGGAATCTTTGGACAATTTAGCCGCCAAACTCAAACAAGTCTATACTCAGCATGTGTGAACTGCAATTTTTCAGAAGCTTATAATTTGGCCAAATTTGGGTGGCTTTTCATAGTGACGACAAATGGCAACTCCCTGACACTAGGGCAAAATTGCCCTGCTCGATTTCAAGTCCTTGCTCCAAAACGTGGATGCACTAGAGCTTCTCAGAGAAACAACTGTAAGAATTATTTTAATATGGGCTAAACAATGTATTTAATCTCATTCTTGGAAACAACTGAAAGCACTTTAGCTGAAACTTTCCAAAAAATTCCACATGAGGCAGACACCTGGCATGGAAGATCTCAGCACAAACACTTAAAGTTTGGCAAAGTTATAGGCAACTGAGAACAGGGGCTTACAGTGGGAAGTGTCAGACAACCTGAACTAAGTATAGATACCAAGAAATAGGAACTATGGAAATAAAATGTAAAGCAAAACCCCTCTGACCCCAAATTCCCCAAAGGAAAAGAGGGTTTAGAACATTAATAAAGGGGAGAAAGGTTTGCTTTCAGGTTAAGAAGACGCCAGAGAGGAGCAAGAGCAGTTCTTTCTGTCTTCTTTCACATGGCTTAAAACTAGCAATGTTAAATGTCCAAGGTGCTTGTTCTCTTAGCTATTCAGAGTATTAGGACTACAACTCCCAGAATGCAGTTGGCTTAGCAGAGAAAGTGACCTTGAGGGTGAGCCACATGACTATGTCTAGCCATCACACAGGAAGTGTGGTGCCTGCAAGCCTCTTAAAGGTGCAGGTGCTGTTACAGCGTGGCTGTGTCCTGAGCGCTGGGTATTGTCACTAGGGGACCAAGTGTGGCTGGTGAGTAGCAAACATTCAGACTTTAAAGAATGAAATAGTATCTCTGCCTCTGCATGGCCTGTTACTGTAACTACTGAATTGCTGAAGGCCAGATGGGTATTTTTATTTTAAAGTCATGGGGCCCAATTCTGATTTCCTACACCAGTGTAAATCTCCAGTAACTCCCTTACTCCTTTGGCTGTGGTGGTGTTACTCTGGATTTAAACCAGTTTAGCTGAGCCTGCAAAATCTGACCATTATATGAAATAGAGAAGGGAATGCTGGGAATTTCATGGGCTTGTTTATGTTTAGCAGGCATTATTATTACAGTAGTGCCTAGAGGTCACACCCAGATCACAGTGCTAGGCACTGGATAGACACACAATAAAAGATAATGCTTGCCTTCAAAAGCTTAGTTTCAGGATAGCAATAGATGGTTGAACCAAGGGGACAGGGAAGGGTGGATGGGGTAACAGCAATATGGGTTGGTGGGTTTTTTTTCTTTTTGGTGTACAGAGTGTGTGCTATTTGTAGTTTGGAGTGTAGTTGTAGCCATGTTGGTCCCAGGATATTAGAGAGATAAGGTGGGTGAGTTAATATCTTTTATTGGACTAACTTCTGTTGATGAAAAAGAAAATCTTTTGAGGTATACCGAGCTCTTTTGCAGGTGCAGTTTGTAGCATGGAGTGTTTGGAGTTCTTTTGCCAAATAGAGACAAATACAATTAAGCCATCTTCACTTTTATTTCGGTCACAGTCCTGCCCGAAAGGGATAAGGTATACCTAAGCACTAGGGAATGATCAAGTACCATCACCCTTCCAAAGAAGGATCAGTTCAGTTTTGAAAAAGTTTGCACAGCTTTGGGGTAAAAAATGTCAGAACTTTATTTTTAATATTTTTTTCTGCTTTATTATAAAAATGTGGAAAATGGAGATGTAGCTGAGCAGGGTTGTGTGTGTCATGAGTTTGTTCCTCTGGATTATGGGATGCTATATTTGTACCGGCTAGTCAATTGCAATCTGCTGCCCTACTTACTTACTTCCTCTCCAAAGAGAAATGTCCCAGTGCCACACACCTATTCTAATAATCCCATCCTGCTGCAGCCTGTCTGCATCTGACTCTGTCCCTTGGGAGTGTCACACAGTGTTAGTGACCCTGTAGGCTCATTAATCATGAAGTGTACAAAACCTCTTCTTGCTTTCTTCCCTGCTCGATGGCTACTTATGCCACTGCCTACACTTTCAGCTAGCAGGGTTTAAAGATGTATGGGGCCAGATTTGCTCCAGGGTCTGTGTACACTGGGCCAGGGAGACCCCTGGTGGCTCAAGGTTCCTACAACCTCCCTTTTTCTGGAGGAGCCTTTGAGAACTGGTGCAGCCTGAATGGGTTGCAGCCCCATTCCCCTGTTGCAGCCTTCCCTGGCAGGCTCCTGGGGGTCAGACCAAAGCTGCTTTTCCCCCAGTAGAAGCCCTGGAGGAGGGCAGCAGTGGAAATGCTGCTTGATTTTCTCCGCCTCCCCCTCCCACTGCCAGGCGCCGTGAGCCAAGCAGGCGTGAGTTGCGCCTAGGAAGGGTCAATCTGGTCTGTTGAATTAAACGTACAAAGTCTCCCTTAGACTCTGATCACCTTCCCTTTCTGTGCAGTGCCACCACTCCGCACCGTGCCGGAGCACAGGGCAACGATGAAACATGCAGAGCATGACACAGAGGAGAGTGACCCTGTGGGGGGAGCAGATCGACAATGGGAATGCGAGGTCGCCTGGCAGGATGATGGAGAGGACAGGGAAAGCATCTGTGAAAGCTTCCGGCTCCTGCAGATTGACACAGGCTGTGACAGCCCAAAGGACGTTCCTGTGGGGAGCGAGAAGTGGTACTCGGTACGTACAGTATAAGGTAAGGCCCCGATCCTGCCAGTGGGCCAGTATGGGCAGCCCCTTGCAGCCAGGGGGTTTGCATGGGCTCACAGCACTGCCTGTACAGATCCCTGGCAGGATCAGGGCCTAACAGCATTACACACAAGGTCAGCTAGATGCTGGATCTATTAAAAGTAACGACTAAAACTAGAAATTATATTCTTTAACAACCCATGTTTTATTAAACAAACCCATGTAAACATTCACCGCTAGTGGAACTGGGAACTCAAACACAGCCGCATCCTGCTACAGACTGGTGCCCAGGCCGTGAAACTGACCAGTCTGTTTGTATCATCCAGGCTGAGAGACATATACAAAGTAGGGGAGAAATAGCGCAAATGTGGGAGGGGGGAAAGCCTAGTGGATCTTTCAAAGCTCTGTTCTAATGATCTGAGCCATTAGTGACTCAGGTAAGGAAGGTGGTTTCTTAGCTGTATGGTGTTTATTTTGACAGTGTTCCTTTGGTAAATGCATGACAGAGCTAGATGTAAACAAGAACTGTCATTCAGGAGCAAAGAAAATATTGGTAGAGGCTTCATCTTGCAGCCTGGAAGTCAAGTAAGTTTAGCTGGAAAGGGCTCTTATCAAGAGAAATAGACTTGATTTGTGGCTTTGTTTCCTTGGCTGTTATTGGAGTAGTTTAAAAGACAAAAATGCTTTTCAAAATAATTTTTTTTTAAATCCACCACTAAATTTTGTTGTTTAGGCCCAAACATTTAATGGCGCGTCAGTCCGGCCTATCGATTTGCCCCCACGATTTTGCACAAGCAAAAACTAAATTTGTGCACACAAATCGGGTAGGTAGGGATCTGCTCAGCGTGTGTGCACACGTTCAGGGCTATGGGTGCACAAAGCGGCAGCCAAAAACTTGGCATCCTTTTCCGAAAGTGGACTCAAACGTAGGTCTGGGTTTTAGAAAAACTGGTGAGGTCGGCACTTTAAATCTTTTGCATCTTTATGAGCTTCTCAGATCCTTTTGTTTTCTTTTGTGTTAAAAGAGGAATGTTTTGAGGAAACAGAGGCATTGGGAGAAAATAGTTACGGCAAAGAAGAAGAAGAGAAAACAGGAAAAAGAGAGGAGAAAAGCTAAACATGCTGAAGATAAAGGTACAAGCAAACTGAAAACTATGGGGTTAGCTCTTCAGCTGGTGTACACCAGCTAATCTTACAGCACCTGTGAATCTGGCTATGTGTTTTAATGACTGACTCTTAGCCTATGGCCTAGTCTACACTACGGGGACCATAGGGCATAACAACAGCACTGTAGTATCGTAGTGTAGATGCGGCATACGCCGATGGACGGGGTTTTTCCACCACTGTAGGAACACCACTTTCCCAAGGACACACCTGGCTGTATCTACACCGAGGGGGAGGTCGCTCAGGGGTGTGGATTTTTCACACCCCGGAGGGATGTAGCTATGTCAACCTAAATTTCAAGTGTAGACCGGGGCAAGGTTTTATTTTTACCGTGGAGTTAAGTCAAACGATCTACACTTCAGTTCAGTCCTCTCCAGTTAGCCTAGCTCTAGTGAAAGGGGCAACACTGCAGAATAACACCGGAGCTGCACAGAGTGACTGTGTTAACTTGACCTGCTGCCTATCCCTCTGGTCCTGCTGGCCATGGCAAATGAAAGCCCCACCCCGCTCACAGATTTGTGTGTGTGGATGAGGCTTGAGTTAACCCTGTGGTGAGGACACTCCCATGGATGCTCAGAGGGAGTTCTCCTCCAAGATTCTGCTGCTTATTGACAACACCGTATCAGGCTTTTAACACATGGGGCGGGGAATCCATTTTTAAGACTGCTTCAAAATAAGCAGCCGCCAAACATCGTGTCCAGAAATACCTCTGGAGTTCAGCACATTCATAAAGAGCCCAGTCCCCTTGTAATATAGAACTAAATCCAACGATACACTAGTGAGCAATCTACACAAGACAATGATATTGCCTTTTTTCAAACCCATCTTATATGAGCTCCTAGAACATTAGCCTGTTTGATTTTTTTGAGGCCTGTGCTTTATTAAAATGTAAATTTTACCTGGAGTTGTTTTGATCACCGTCAAAATGAAACGTCCTGCCGCTTAAGGCCTACAAAGACTTATGCGCACACATTCTTCATGTTGTGCAGGCGGGTACTTCATGTTGCTGCGTTCCCATGTACTTCAGTGGGAATCCTTATCTGCGTGAAGTTACTCACACGTTTAAGTGAGTGCAGGATAACCTCTTCAGGTACAAGTGTCTAGGAATGGGACACGCCTTTCCCATCTGAGAAATTTCTCCTCGGGAGCAATCTGTATGTGGCCCTTCTTCAGAGGCTTCTTTCCATGCAGTTACTGCAGCAAGAATCCTCTCTGAGGCCAGCAGCCCCTCGTGGAAAAGCTGAAACTTAACAATCATTTCGTGTGGATGCCACCAAGAAATTGGAGTGACAATTTACCAGCCATTGATATAAATCTGTTTCAAGCCCTGAGATCTAAGGCTGAGCATGTCCATATTGAAACCAACAAACCATCCCCTTTGTGTTTCTTTAAGGCAGCATTTCCCAGCCTGGAAAGACAGCCCCCCTTTTTGTGTGGGGGGGTCACAGTAGTTCAGGTTGTGGAACAGACGTGAGAAGCAGTGGGGATAAGGAAAGCTGCATATCCCTGGATCCTCTGTGTAACTGCAGCCCTCTTCTGCTCCTACTGTGGCCCTCAGTGGGAGGAGATCACGTGGCGAGGCAGCTGCCCGCCAGACCAAGCTTCTCTTCTCTTTCCGTGGCCCGGGGCTCAGCCCTGAGAACCCAAGGAGCACAGGACTGCAAGGGCCCTTCTGGGTCAGAGAGTCCAGTCCCCTGCTCTCCCAGGCAACCCCACTGGATAATCTTGTTCATGGACTCGTCAAGGCCCAATTTGAAAGCAGTCAGGTTGTCTGCCCCCACGGCTCCTGCTGGGAGGTTGTTCCAGACCCTCGCCCCACTGGTGGCTAGAAACCTTCTTCTCATTTCCAGCCTGAATTTACTCCTGACCAGTTTATCCCCATTGGTTCATGTGCCAGCCTTGTCCTTTGGCTTCAGTAGCTCTTCTCCCTCCCTGGTGTTTGCCCCCGGTGTGTTTATAGAGAGCAATCGGATCCCCTCCTAGCTTTCCTTTCGCTGGGCGGAGCAAGCCACGCTCTGTGAGCCTCCTCTCGTCCCCTGATCACCCTAGCAGCCCTTCTCTCCACCTCTTCCAGGCTGAATTGGTCTCCCTGGAACACGGGTGAGCGGAATTCAGTGTTACGCAAGAGGTCTGGCCCAGTGCCTTGTGCAACAGCATTAATATGTCCCTCTTTCTACTGCAAGTACCTCACCAGGGGATGTGACCGACGGAGACTCTCCCGCCCCCACACCAGCATAGCTCTGTGGGGGAGGGGCCACTGGGGGAGTGAGGGGGTGGGGAACCCAAGCAGGGAAATAGGAAAAAAGCTCCTCTGCCAGTCTGCCTCTGAGGACCCCAGCAAGAATACTAGGGCCCAGGATTTAAGGCAATGTTACAGGTGCTTGCATTATTTCAATGATTGAATTCCCTCCCTTCCCCTTCCCCTGACTCCCCCTAACACTTCCCGTCCCATCTCTCTCTTGCTCTGCGTTCCAGGTGCTGCTCACCAGCACAGCAAACGGGTTTTAAAAGTGATCACCAAGGAGCGGCTTCTGGCGGCCAAAGAGGCAGCCCCCTGGCTATGTATAGATCTGAGTATGACCAGCCACATGACGAAGAAGGTATGCGCTGCGACCGCTAACTGTCCCTAGTGCTCATGAGCCTCTTGGGGAGGAATCTTACAATGAGGTCTGCCAGCATGGGCACCTCCCTTAGGTGGGTGGGAGGTATTTAGCAGAGACCCCGTGCCAGCGGGTCCCATTGCACAGGGCCGAGCCAGCGGGTCCCATTGCGGGATTGGGGCCTGGCTGGTAAGAACAATTCATTTATATGTATCCATTTTTGACAGGTGATTCTTTTTTGTTTCCGCTACTGAAGCTTGTCTGCTGCACAACCAGGGTGTTTCCTTTTAAATAACCAATGAGCTCAGAGCTAGATTGTATGGGGGATGGGAGCTGGGGGAAGGGGTGGCTGGTTGGTCAACAGTATCTCTCAGCAAGCAGGATTGCTCTGCAAAGCTTTATCCCAGAGCTGGAGTGTCAGGAGCTACTGTAAAAAAAAAAACAAAGGCTTTTACATGGGGAAAATCCCAGCCCCCACCCACTAGGCATAGAGCTCTGCTTCCCAAGAGAGCTGCTCTGCTAGCTGCATGTATTGGTCCCTGGGAGTATCTGATTGGCCCTTCTGTCCTCGGCCTGCTTTGTACCCAGGCAGTGTGCCCCTGCCCTTGGCACGCTCTCTCTCCGAGACGCAGCGCACAGGATGGGAACCCAAGGGCAGAACAGAGCCTTGGTTACCCCACTGTCCCTGTCCAATCTAAATCTCCACCATCCCTCATGAAAAATGGCCTTTAAAACCATAGGCGCCGACTCCGTGGGTGCTCCGGGGCTGGAGCATCCACAGGGAAAAATTGGTGGGTGCTCTGCACCCACCGGCAGCTCCACGCCCCCTCCCCCCCCAGCTCACCTCTGCTCCGCCGCCTCCTCCTCCCCTGAGCGTGCTGTGTGCCCGATTTCCCCCCCTCCTCTCCTCGCGCAACAGGGAAGGAGGGGGAACACGGCGCGCTCGGGGAAGGGGCGGGGATTTGGGGAAGGGGGTCCAATGGGGCAGGGAGGGGGCACAGTTGGGGCTGGGACTTTGGGGAAGGGGTTGGAATGGGGGCGGGGCAGGGAAAGGGTGGAGTCGGGGCGGGGCCAGGGGGGGCGCAAGCACCCACCGGCGCCCGGGAAAGTTGGCGCTTATGTTTAAAGCGCCTGCTAGTCCATGAGCTCGGCCACCTCCTCAGTTTCTGCACGCTAAGCTGGGCTGGGCCGGACCCGTGCTGTGATGGGAGATCTCCAAGCTGGGCCTGAGGTGGGAGTAAGTGGTGCCCTTAGCTCTGAGCCCGTACCCATCTGGGCCACTTGTGTGCAGATGTTCGTTCTCTCTTGGAAGGAAATAAGTCGCCTTGCCGCTCAGATAAGGAGGCTGTATGGTTCCAACAAGAAAGCTGGAAAGCCGTTTTGGATTTGCCTTACTGGATTTGTGGCCGGCAGTCCTATTTCTGAAGAGTGCTTCCGAATGAACGATGGGTTTTCCAATTACCTCGTAAGTATCATAAAAGTAACGGACGTGAGTGAATTCCACAAGACAGTGGCTACTGCCCCCCTGTACACAGCAAAACATGTTGCTCCTGTGACTCCTCTCAATATAATTTAAAAGACTGTTTTTAAAACGCAGTAACACAAGCTAGGATCTTTCCCTTCTTCGTATGCCCCTCATATGAACACAGCAGCTGTGTATCTTCGTTTGAACTTCGAGACAAGTGTCTTATTCAAAGCCAATGAAACAAGAGTGAATTACACTCAGTGGGATCATAAACTGGGTGTAGAGCTGCTGCAGATGACATGGAAATTATTATTATTATTTGCATTGCTGAAGTGCCAAGCAGCCCCAGCCGTGGTCCAGGGCCCCATTGTGGTTGGTGCTGTGTGAACACCGAACAAAAAGACAGCCCCTGCTGTATTGGCGGGACACTGTTTTTTTTGGGCAGATGTGTAGTATTTGCACCTTCCTTTGATGCTTCTGGTGCTGGCCCCTGGTAGAGACAAGATACTGGGTGAGCTGGACTCTGGGTCTGACCCACTGTGTCAATCAGTGGGGAGTGCCTGGGTCGGGACTAGAGGAGACGTGACGCAGGCTCGGGTGAGTTGGGGACAGGAGTGGCTCGGGGTGTGGGGCTCCCCCAGCCTGGCCGCGGGGCGGGGCGACACTGACTGAGGTTGAGGCCCGCAATATCCATCTTGTCTCTGGGCTGTGGCGGCAGCAGCCTCCCGGCCGCCACAGCCTAAGGAGCAGGCCCGGCCGGGCCGCAGAGCAGCCGGGTCTCTACCTGGCCCGGAGAGACTCAGCATCTCCGTCCCCCGGTGTCCCGCCCACCCTGCCAGGTGCGGCACGAACAACCAGCTCCTGCCGCCACCTGCTCTGACTCTTCCACACCCTCTGTCCCCAGCTCACCAGGTATGGATCAGCCCTGCCCGTGCCACCCTCCGAACCGCTTCGTCCTGGGGCCAGCCTCAGCCTGTGCCCCCAACACCAGCCCAGCCCCTGGTTGGACCTGCTGAGCAGCGCAGATGCCCTCCCTGCTCCCGGCATGACCCCTCCCCTTTCCGTCCCCTGGGCCAAGGGAGTTGCCCTGTTCCCTCTCCTGCCAGGGCTGGGGGAGTAGCCCCACCTTCCTGAGTGAGTCTGGGGAGGAAACTTGACCCCGATGGACTGAGTAGTCTGGGAGGGCTCAGAGTTCATCAATCGTCTATCTATGCAGAAGTCCCAATTATCCCTTCTCCTACCCATTACCACCACTAAGACAGAAGCCTTGGGGAGGTGGGAATGGCTATTGAAGGGGAATTGATCATTGCCTTGTTGTGGGTTCCACCATGCCGGAACTAGTTGCTGGAGGGAACCTTAGGAAGGGTCATGTGGGGGGAGGGATAGCTCAGTGGTTTGTGAATTCAATCCTTGAGGGGGCTATTTAGGGATCTGGGGCAAAAAACTGTCTGGGGATTTATCCTGCTTTGAGCAGGGGGTTGGACTAGATGACCTCCTGAGGTCCCTTCCAAACCTGATATTCTATGAATTCACGTGTTCCGTTTTCATTGCTAACTGAGGTTTGGCTTCATGTGTGATTATACTTGGAATATGGCCTGCAGGAAGAGGGGTGTTCCATGGTTGTTGGATCTTGGACTTCACATCAGACTTGTCCAGCTCACAAATAAAAAGAGGCTTTTCCCAACAGCCAGCCCTGCAACCTCAGCCTAGAATGTCCGAGTCAAGCTGGGTTCTTTCCTCTGCGCCCAAGGTCAGACGTAGTTAAGGCTTTGTAGGCCAAACTATGACCTTAGCTAAATCTGTGTAACCCTGTCTTCAGATAGTGGCACCTGGGAAACTCCGTTGCCATCGGTGGAATTGCAGAGGAGCAGTTGATGAGAAATTTTGGCCTACATGGCTTGCCCTACAAGTGGTCACACAGCCAGTCTGTGGGAATAAAACTCAGATCCCTCAGCCAGCGTCTCCATGGGAAAAAGCCAGAGCAACTGAGGAATGAATCAAGCCCACTAAGGTTTTTGGGGCAGGGCCCATCTTTTTGTCTTGTGTGTGTACAGCACTTGGCACCATGGAGACCTGACCCCTGGATACAACTGAGCTCTATTTCCTCCAATAAACTTCACAAACTGGGCAGTTACAGGGGGAAAATGCATGACTTTGTGATAACTAATCATGGATGATATTCTAATTCTCAACAGAGGCAGTGAAGTTAGTTTGTTAGGATTATCGCTAATCTCTTTCCCTCAGTACATCTGCTAATTTTGCTCAGGAAAGAATTTAACAAAACTTGAAAATTACCAGTGGTATTTATAGATGTGGAATGTGTGTTCGTTTCTTCTGAAAAATATCTTACCCGTGTGGGTCTGAATGACCCAGAGGCCTTACCAATTCTGATATGCTTCATGTCTGAGAAGGTGTAGAGGAGCGGACTCGCGCCTGCTGCTGGTGACTTCTGGGAATTAGCTCGTTCCAGCTCTGGAACGTCCTCTGCAGGCCGGTGATCCACCTGTCCTCTGGCCCCCGTGTCCCTCCCTGGACCCCGGTGCCCTTTTACCTGGGGTGCTGGCCCTGGCAGTAACCCCTCAGTCTTAGGGTCTCCTCTCCCCAGGGAACCCCCACCCACTATTCCCACCTCACTTCAGTATAAGGCTACTGCCAGTCATCATCTAGCCCCATGCCCTGGGGCAGACTGCAGTACCAGCCTACTCATCACTGGCAAGATTGGGTTTGGACCTGCTGCCTTGGCCTAGCCCTGGGCTGCCCTCTGCAACTCCCACTACCTTTTAGCTCAATACTAGGCCGCAGCCTGGGGCTTTCCAGGCTGGAGCTCCCCAGCTCCTCAGCCTTTCCCCAGCCCTACTCCACTCAGGTACCCTGTCTCTAGCTCCCTGCAGCCAGGCCCATCTCTCTCTGAATGCAGAGAGAGACTGCCCTAGGTCTCTGGCTCCCAGCCTTTTTATACAGGCCAGCTAGGGCCTGATTGGGGCATGGTCCAGCTGTGGCTACTTCCCCAACCAGCCCAGGTCTCAGAGCTGCAGCCCTCTTCAGAGCTGCTTTCAAGCCCTTCAGGGCAGGAGTGGGTGTCTACCCCGCTACAGAAGGGTATTGGACTCTAGCTGAAGACACTTCTTGTCTATTTCATATGCGTGTTCTCCCTTTGCATTTTTCAGATGGATACCACTCCAGAAAGTTACCTTGACCTATTTCCTTTAGAGACAATTGTCTACCTCACTCCTGACTCGGAGAATGGTGAGTCCTTTGCTTGTTTGGGGGAGCTGTGGCAGGAGAGAACTCATGTTGTTACAATCTAGAGTTTATTTAAAAAAAAAAAAAATTGACCCAAGATTGGTTTGGTTTGAAAGCTTTTCTTAAACCATGTTTAAAACTACTTCAGACAGATCAGTTCCTAACTGGTGTAGCTGGGATCTCCATCTGGATCTGAGCTACATTAATCAATGCTCAAGATGTCCCAGCAATGAATGAAGGTTTAGCCCCAGATCCTTGAAGGTATTTAGATGCCTAACTCCCATTAATATCAATGGGAGTTAGGCGTTTAAATACCTTTGAATGTCTTGACCCCTGTGCTGTGTGGTTAGAACCCTGCACTTTGCAGTACTCCAGAACAGCAGGCTGGAAATTCGGTGGCTGTTTCAGATCTATCTTAAAAAAGAAAGGGTTTTACTGAATTAAACATGAAAATAAAACCGTCACTGCAGCATCCCCTTTGTGGCTTGCTATTGAATGTATTATCTGCTGCTCCTCTATTTTTAACTCACCGCCTGATGCAGAATTTCGTAGTGGAAATGTGTATCGGGTCTATGGAAGCTGTCGAAGGGTGGGTGGGTGGGTGGGGGAAACTTTGGTAGATACAGTTGGGGCCTTTGGCATGTGGTGAGGCCTGGCTCTCTGGGATTGTAGGGTAAGCACACAAGCTGCAAGTCAAAGTGATCAGCAGTGAAAGAGTTAACAAGTGTTGCCATTGTAATTTGCGTCTTCAGATTTCCCCGTTTTCAGCCCACCTCTGAGCGGTTGTTTCAGGCTCTCTACAGACTCAGGCATATGTTCATGTTTTGACAGTTTCCTTTGTAACTATTCGGGTTAGACCCCGTCCTCCAATACAAGCTTAGGGTACGGCACACAATTCTGGGGCACAGGGTGGCTTCTGCAGCACACTCCACGGCCCCAGCTTCCTGGAGCACACGGGACCCAGCTTGTGCAGAGAGAACAGTTTGAGCCAATCATTCCTCTGCAGTAGATCGGCTACTGCTAACCGGCCTAGTGTTCTGTTTAACTAGCCCTCTGTTTCCTTTCTAGCTCTGCAGGACATTGACCCCCATAGAGTGTACGTCCTCGGCGGGCTCGTAGATGAAAGCATTCAGAAGGTGCGTGCTCGGTGGAAGCTGCACCAAACACTTACAAAATCCCATGGCACCTTCAGCCAGCACTAGTGGAGCCCTGGCAGGAAATGATGCCGGAAGTCATGCAGTTTTCTCCTCTTCACTAGCAAACTATTCCTAATGTATGGTCCCAAAACTATATAGTGAATATAAGTTTGGTGACTTCCAGCCCTGCCATCTCTCCTAATCTCTGAGGCTCCCTCCTGAGTTGGATGCGCTAGCATGGACCCCTGCACCACAAAGAGTCCCAGTGGGGAACGGCTCCATCCCTCTGTAGGTTTGGGGCCGTACATGTCCCACCGTCGGACATCTTTGGCGACACAAATTACCAGAGGCCAGATAAGTCAGTGGTTTAGAAAGCCGTTGGCTCGTAGCGTTAAAGTGTTTCAAGCGTGTGATGTTGTAAGTTCCATAGCATCTGGCGCCAGACGCGAATAAATGTCTCGCTTTTTGCCCGGAGATTTAGATGTGTCGCCTTTCAAGGGGCGTGGAGTCCATAGGTAGAGGACGCTCCCCATTGCCTCTGTCCTGGAGGCACTAAACCCAGGTTCTGACAGCATGTGTCTCCCAGCTGAGGGGCACTCTTGGGCCAGGGTCTGGGTGACAGAGGTGCGGGGTGTAGGCGACGGGCAAGCTCTTGAATAAGCCAGGCCCAGACCAATCACAATTTAAAGATCATCCGTGAGGCCCACGCCCTCAGAGTATGTAGGCACCTAACTCCCATTGAAGGCAGTGGGCATTAGGGACTGAACTATTTTTGAAGGCCTAGCCCTGTGTAGAGTGCGTGCAGCCATCTAGCCTGGAGGCGACAAACACCTGGATGCAGGAGCCATGCTTGGGTGGAATGTCTGCAGGCTCCTGGCCTGTGGTAGATCGTGACAGGAACTGCCAGTTACTGCTGCTATCTGGGAATCCGGGAACAAGGATGGATCCCCGCGGATCATGTGGCGTCAGTGGAAAATACACCCTCAGTAGCTGGTGCAGACGTCCGCGCCGTCCATTCCTCCGCTGCCGACAAGCATCGCTTCTGGCCTACCGCCTCCTTCCTTTCCTGTCTGGGAGCGCCAGGAGGCTGCTGATTCCAGGGAGACAGAGCTGAATTCCCCCAGCCCGTGGCTGCTCAGACTGACTCGGTCTGCGCTCGTGGCTTCGTACAGGCCTAGGGCAGGAGGGATGGCAGGTTGGGACCCTGCCCGAGCCCCCGCACGACTGGCCCTCAGGGAGGGAATGAACTGGCTGAGGGGATTTCCCTGAGAGGAAGGAGCCAAACCGAGAGCCACTCAATCCATTCCCACGAGGCGCCGCAGATGAGGCAACAGAACTTGTCCCCCACGCCAAACCCAGGTCTAGCCTCAGCTGGAGAGCGATCAAAGGAGTCTGGACTCCAGTGTCCACCTGTTTCCACTCATTCACCTTCCACCGGGGGGGGGAGGGAGGGTAGAAACGGGATGGGAACTGGCAGGAGTTTATTGTCCCGAATGGCCTTCTGGGCAGCGGCCTGCCCATTGCTTGTTGCAAAGTATGGCTGGCAGCCCCCCTCGCAACCTTCTGGGAGGGAGATCAGTGCTCATGCTTCAGGGATGAGCTAACCTCTGCCCCTTGGGGGCTGGGAAGGAACTTCCCTGGGGGGCACGTTGTTCCGGACCTGCCCGCTGCAGACAGCTGGTGCCCCGGTCTGTTCTGGGGTGGCAGTTTCCACGGGGAATGGAGGGATGTAGCAGGGACAGCTCCAGTCTGTCTTAATTGGCTTTCCCCAGCCATGGAGGGCATGGGCCTGTCTCCCACACACCTAGCCCCTCCTAAGCAAAGGGCAATGTGTGTGCTACAAGGTCGTCAGACTGAAAGAGGTCAGGGTGCGTGCATGATCTCTTACTTTGACTTCCAGAAACTGACCTTGCAGAAGGCACAGGAGCACTCCTTGCAGACCGCTCGGCTGCCCATTGCAGAGTACATGGTGAAGAACGCCAACGTGAAGAACTACCATTCAGAGACGTTAGCAATCAATCAAGGTATGGCTCCCAGGCTGCTTACTGCCAGGTTGCCAGAATGCAGCTACAGGCCAGAGCTCTACACCATGGTATCCATCCCGGGCCAGGGAACAGGGAGGAAAGTTCAGGCCCCAGAGTTCATTGGACTAGAACAACAAAAGAAGGGGCGATATGGCTGAGTGTGTGGTGGGGCTTAGATACCAGTTTGTCTTCTGCCCAGGTATAGCAGGGGTGGAAGCTTTCTCGTCCCTCTGCCTTAACATGGGTACGTGGCCCCTCACTCTGCTGGAAAGCTAGTTCAGTGGCAGGGCCCACTCCCGTTGGCATTGCCAGCAGAAGTGCCACTGATTGTTAGCTTGGCAAAGCAAACACCTATTTGCTAAGAACTAGTCCGAGGCCAAGCTCTGTTAGACCTGGGCCAGTTTGCGTCTACACGCTGGCTGCTGCTGATCAGTGCAGTATTCAGGCTGGAGAACTGCTCCCTGACTCATGAACATTGTCTAAGGACTGAGGGCAGTAATTGCAGCAGAGTGGGAAAACAAGTTACCGTTATCCCTCGAGCCCCAAATCCCTCTCCCGCTCTTACCAAAACACGTGAATTGCTGCTGCTCAGACGAGTGGCTGGGTTCAGCGCTGCCTTGCGCATCTCTGTAGGCTGCTGTATTGGAGAACCCCCTGGTGCTGTCCATATGTGTTTTAATGAAGGTGTGGTGTGAGGAGGAAAGGATGATAAAGAGGAGCATCTAGGATGGGGTGTGTGGGTGGGTGGGTGGTGGGGACTACATGCAAGTGGCTAGAGTCTGCATGTATTTGTTGAATGCATCAGAAGACTCAGTTCTCCGATGGTCTAATCAGTGAGGGGTAGACGCAGGCACAGGAAGTAGCACTCACATCAGCTTGCCTTAATGCCAAGGTTCTCAACCACGAGTGCCGGAAGCTGTGCTCACAACGCCCACTGTCGCCCCCTGCTGAAGGGGGCCTGATTGTTTTTCCTAACGCTCCGGAGCACGCCGCTATCTTGAGGCACCCAAGTGTGTGAAAAGTTGGCCCAAGTTTAATAAACGTGAAAGTGTCCACCTTAAAGTTACAAAATGTGAAGAGCAGGGTTAGGAAACACGGAAGTGTGACTGGAGAAGCTGTTCTTAGGGGAGAGGCCCTGGTACGTTCTGCTTTTCCGGGAAGCTGTAGTTGATCCGTGGTGGCTTGTCAGGAGGTCAACATGGCTGTCAGCTAGAAGGTAGAATTTCCTAATGCCATTGATCTTTAGCTACCGATACGTGACCTCTGGTCACAAACGAGTTTCCTAGGGTGCCTGCCCATCAGATTCTAAACCATAGTATGGATGCCTGGCTGCTGTCAGCTGTCAAATCTTCCAGCCTTTGTTCTAACTAGTGACAAACGAGCCCAGATTTCCAGTGCTTGCTGTATTTAGACTGATCTTGATCACTCTTTTGGACAGTCTTTGATGCCTTATCAACTTACTATGAGACCCAGAGCTGGCCAGAAGGGCTGAAAGCTGGAGTTCCTCCTGGAAAAGGCTACGTTCTCCAGGAAACAGCTCTATGATGGAAACTGCATCTGCTTAGCAACACGCAAGAAGACTCTTGATTCTGTGATGTTAATGGGCTGCACGGCCAAAGGAAGCAAACTCCTCCCTCGTTATTTCAAGCAGCGGCATCAGCATAGCTTGTGTACAGAGAAATGTGGCTCACCTGGCATAAGGAGCTCATCAGCTTCATACATTCTACCTCATTGGTGTATTGCTGGAAAACAAGGGTCAGCCCTGGGCTTCAAATACAGACCAACTGGAACTTGTCACTTCTTGCCGGTGTTTTGTTAGTGTTTTGGAAATTGTCTGCACCACTGGCCTACCAGTTCCTCTTTGGGGCAGGGAGAAGATGTAATTAACATGACAGTTAAAACCTTAAGGGATTTTTGTACAAGTAAGCAATGTGGGGTTAAAGTAGTTAACTACACCAGTGTAGCAGTTAACTGGAACGATCTTTTTACAGGTAAAACAGCGTTCTTATCTCAAAGTTTCTCTTGTAATGCTGTACCCGTATTTCTGCTACTTAGTATCTAATTAATGACAGAGTCCTGGGGCACCTTATAGACTAACAGACATATTGGAGCATAAGCTTTCGTGGGTGAATACCCACTTCGTCAGACGCATGTGGTGGAAATTTCCAGAGGCAGGTATAAATAGGCAGGCAAGAATCAGTCTAGAGATAACGAGGTTAGTGCAATCAGTGAGCATGAGGCCCTCTTCTAGCAGTTGAGGTGTGAACACCAAGGAAGGAGAAACTGCTTCTGTAGTTGGCTAGCCATTCACAGTCTTTGTTTAATCCTGAGCTGATGGTGTCAAATTTGCAAGTGAACTGAAGCTCAGCAGTTTTTCTTTGGAGTCTGGTCCTGAAGTTTTTTGCTGCAGGATGGCTACCTTTAAATCTGCTATTCTGTGTCCAGGGAGCTTGAAGTGTTCTCATACAGGTTTTTGTATATTGCTATTCCTAATATCTGACTTGTGTCCATTTATCCATATCCTCCTCCCTTGTTGTTCACACCTCAACTGCTAGAAGAGGGCCTCGTCCTCCCTGATTGCACTAACCTCGTTATCTCTAGCCTGATTCTTGCCTGCATATTTATACCTGTCTTTGGAAATTTCCACTACATGCATCCCATGAAGTGGGTATTCACCCACCAAAGCTTATGCTCCAATACGTCTGTTAGTCTATAAGGTTCTCCAGGACTCAGTCTCGATCTGTAAAAAGTGACAAACACGGCTACCCCTCTGATACTTATCTAATTAATGTTATAATAGAATATTTATTCTTGATTCCCCCACCCCCCTAGGAACCACTGATGGCTGCTCTCTTGAAACAAGCAATAGGATGAAAACAGTTCTTGCAGGGAAGATGCCCTAAATCGAGACTGTTGCCCCACTTTACCTATTCACCTTCTGTAAGCTGTGGTGTGTTATACTGCCAGGATATATTCCAGGAAGAAAGGAAGCATAAACATTTTTAAGTATAAAGTGCACATAAAGGGAAGTTCGTTAGCTTATCCAGTGCTGTTGCCACCTACCTTTGTTGAACACACTCCCCCCCCCGCCATTTAAATGGGGGGGGGGAACACCCAAACTAGATTTAGAAGGCCTGAGTCTCATTCCAGTGGGGGGCTGTGTGCACTGCAGCTGGGGGTGTGATTTGCAGCTTGTAGCAATGTACCAGCACTAGCTGTACTCTACCTAGCTCGCTAAAAGTGGAAGTGAAGATGCTGTAGCATGAGCTTTTGTGCAGGCCACATAAATGAGTATTCATGGGCAGGCAGGCACACTTCTGAAACCTACCCTGTGGCATCCTCTCTCTGCTATTTTCTAAAGTGCAGGAATGTCTACATGAGCGGCAAATGACACCCACAGCTGCTGTACAGCCACATCCTAGGACTCCTTTATGCGGCCGGAGATGTGGATGGGGCCTTAATGTACCTGAGAGTTGGACTCAAAGTATTTAAAGATCTAGCTAACAAACAGCTGCAGGTGCTGTGGCTGGCTGCAATGTTTACTCCTGGGGGAATTCTGCGCATGCGCAGCATTCATGGGCCAAGAAGAATTTTCTTTTTCCCTGCAGCAAATAACTTCTGAGGGAAAGTTGCTGAAGTTATGCCTTTTGCCCACCAGGGGCCACTGTGGCACTAGAACAGAACAGCTGCTTCAGGGCTAGCCCCATCTGCTGATAGGGAAGAGAAGGTAGCACCCTGCCTGTGGGGCCAGGTCAGGAGACAGGGGATATGGGGGGGGACGGACACAGTGTGGGGCATATGGGTCTGCTGGGGTGTGTGTGTCACAGATAGGTTCATAAGGGACATTGAGGGAGGACAGACTGGGGCAGGGGCTGAATGGGAGAGGAGGTGGAGGTGCGGGGCCCTAGGGGGACACAGGGGAGAGGGTGCAGGGACACATGGGGATGAGGGGTAGCTGCGTGGGGGCACAGGGGCACATGGGGTAAGGGGTAGCTGGGTGGGGGCATAGGGACACATGGGGGTAAGGGGTAGCTGAGTGGGGGCACGGGGACAC